TAATTAATAAATTAAAAAATAAATAGTAATGGTAACAGAGATAATACCTGATGGTATCATATGTTTGCAGGCCTCGAACTCTAGCAGCATAAGTACCCTCAACAATATGACAGTAGATCGTCTTGGATAATATGTCAGATGTTAGAATACCATAAACAAAATCTTTTCGGATATCTTCATAGTCAAAGTTCTCTGTAAATAATGCTGGCACTTCAACTGAACAAATATCAATCTGACAATCAATCAAATCATTCCTAATTTCAACATCTGAATGCTTTTCAAATATACTCATGTCCATAACCATGTGTTGTTTGCGTGGATACACTTCAACTGATTCATAATGCAAACATTCTTTTGTTTGTGCATCAACAGCAAAAATTGAAGATTCACCTACAGCTCTAATAATAAGAAAATAATTGTAATGTAGTTTAGAATGTTTGGATTCATTAATAAAATAAAATTTAAAATTTAACATATATAAATATATATATATATATATTAGATTAAAGATATTTCACCTGGTTCGATGGAAAGGACTGGCCTCTTTTAACACCTTTGATCAAAAGAAAATTAAAATTGTAAAAAATTGACTTGTAATTTTTTTTTCTCCAAAACAATTGAGGTGACACACACATATGTTTTTTAAATATTTTTATTATGATAATAATAATATACCATTGTCATTATTGCATTCTTATCTTCTTTTTTTCTATCTCTATTATTGAATAATCCAATAATTAATTAATAAATTAAACAAAATTCCACACCCTGATAATTAATTAATTAAATCGATTATTTACCTGTGGTTATCTAAAACCTTTTCCAAATGAACATTAGACACAACATCACCACTAATAAGAATAAAATCTGAACTAATTAATTGTTTAGCATCAACTTCACGTAAAACATCACCAAGTGAACGAGCTTCAGGTGTAAAAATTGTAAAGATCTTAATTGGAGAATAAGATCGATTCCATTTCGAGGCTCTTCATATATGTATAAAAGTAATAATTTGAATGTGTGATTTTAACTATTATATATAAAAATAAATTTGAACCATACTCGATATAATTCCTTATTTTCTCAGCATGTTCTCTACAAAAAAGGTAAGCTTCTTGAACACCAGCAACAGCAAGGAATTCAAGTGTATACTCGATTAAAGGTGTGTTGCATAAAGGCATTAAGCACTATATAATTTTCCATATATATATTAAAATGTTATTTTAAAAAAAGAGAGAAAATAATAAAAATATACTTACTCGTGGTGTGTCAAAAGTTATAGGATGAAATCGTTCATTAAAGCTATCAGCCAAAACAACCGCTTGTAAAACTATTTCTGTTTCGATATTTTTACCTGAATTTTTAGAACTTGGAGGTGACATTTTTTTTTTTAATTATAAAAATCAGAATTTCTATCGTTGATCGGCGGAGATTGCGCCGCAAAATCAAGTGTTGTTTGTATCTCGCGATTATGACATGCAAATCTTTTACCTAATAAAATCGCGCATTTACGAATAAAAGTAACTTCTTCAGCTTCATATAAACAGTGCCATCGAAAGAGCATATACAAACTAGGATTTTAAAAATAGCGAGGATGCTAAGATATTATTACTTATAATAAATCATTGAAGAAAAATAAATTCCCAAAAACATTACATGTCGCCAGCAGGATTTTTAAATAAACGCATTTCAAAACACAGAAAATATGAGTTTTTATCAATAATTATCTATGGTGTCTGCATTTACGCTAACAAAAGAATAATAGATGATGGCATTGTGAGTGGATTTGAAGGCATGTGAAATTGGTTTAATCCATTTTGAAAGAATTATTGCGCCTTATAAAGACATTGACCAAATGACTGTGTTGGTTAAGTGAGAGCTCTCACCGAAAACAATAGAGCATAAGATAATAAACCAAGATCATTATCATCATCATCATCACCATGACTTTAATAAATAAATATTTAAAGGAATATGATTATGTTAGTTGTTTTGTTGAAAGTAATAGATATTAATCATGGTGAAGGTTTCAATATTTTTTTGAGTGAAGTGGAAATTACCGAATTTATTTCCAATTTATTTGATTGATGATAAAAGCAAAGCCAGAGTTCAGATAAAAATTTTTAATTTCCAGTTCATAAATTCAAAAATTAACATTATAATCAACTCGCACAATAGCCAAACAGTTAAAGGCTACTGTACATATCCCCCTGGACTTAATTTGATTGTAACTTGTATGCTCTAAGGTACAAATGCAAATGTTTGGCTGTGACATGTATATTTTATTTTCATAAAAAAACAGTTTTGACCAATATTTATATTTACTACAAACTTCTTTCTTTCAATTTTAATGATGCAGTATTGTTATACTGTTTATAGTGTATCCCATGTGCTGTAGTAGTAGTAATATGTATTGAAAAGCTGCTTGTTTTCAATTAATTTTCCATTTTAAATCTCTTGATCCTGAGACAAATAAACTGTTTACTTTTATATCATCATTTTGTTACAACTAATCATATAAATATAAATGAATTGTTAAAAATGTTCTTCTTAAATATTCACGAAAATGGTTTTTTAAACCATATATTATTAAAAATAGTAATCATGCCTTTCACTTAATGCAAATATCACGCGAGATTGACTTATTCTTAAAAATATTCTAGAATCCAAAACTAAATTAGAGGCACGAAAAATAATATCAAAAAAATTTCCTAATAATATATTGGATATTAGATGCATTGCTCATTGTATCCATTTAACATCCAAAGATATCATAAAGCGTAAATTTGCAAATCAAATTGTAATTCACTTGTTAAATATTTCAAAAAATAATATTGTGTTATCTCTTCTCAATGAAGTTATTAGTAGATATAATATAAAAGGTGGTTCTTTAAAAAATTATAGCAGAATTCGTTGGGATCTGCATACGAAACTGTGGACTTTCCGGCCTAATGATGAGTATCCGTCATCCGTTCATCTTCTAAAAATCAATCTGTCATCCGGCCATTACTCAAAAAATGCATCCGTTGGGATTTCATCGGATTAAGATGATCCGTATTAGTATAATCCGTATAATCGAACGGATTGGACGGATTAAACGGATAATCCAATGAAACACAATAATAAAGATACCTGCCATAATTAATTAATTGCGCTGTAGTGACCATTTGCGGCGATAACATTGTGATGGTAATTATTTATGCAGCAGCGGAAAATGGTAGTTAGCAGCCCAAACAATTTGCAGCAGGTATTTTTGGTTTAGCAACTTTAATTGTTTTTTAGAATTTACGTTTAACACTTCATATCCATCACACAAAATAAGTAAAGGAGCAATTGCAAATAAAACAATGATGATTAAGATATGATGCATGAAAATTTATTGTCACGATATATAAATAAAAATTTTTACACGTGATAATAATAAATAATCGGATCTATTTGCACAAAATATGGTTATAAATATAAATAAAGAATTTTAACAAAATAAAAGGTTTGGTGAATTTCAATTTCAACTAAAATTATAATGTTAATAAATAATATTAGCACATTTAATAATTATTAGCAAGGATTAACATTTTCAAGACCAAAACTTCATAATATTTCAACACTTTCAGTAATTTTTTATTTTCAATCCAAATAACAAGGATTAATAATAATAAACCAAAATATTATCTTATAATGTCACGAGAATAAATGGTTAGATTCATATCTGGTGTTTAAGAAAACACAATTCGTTTGTAGGAAAATGATGGTTAAATAATTCTATGATATGTATATATACACATACATTAATTAATAATTTCTTTTTTTAGCATTTTTAATATAAAAAAATTGTTTTTGATTTAATATATAGCAACAAGATTCATAAAATGGATTTTCATTTATGGGTTCAACACCAAATTTTTCAAATATGTTGTGTCATATTTCACTTTAGAAAAAGATTTGAAAATACATTGCACAAATGGAAAATTTATTTCAAAAAAAATAGAAGAAATTAAACATATTGGGATCGGATTGCAAATGCAGCAAGGCCAATTAATCAAAATATTGGCATCACAAAAATAATGGATCACTTTATGATACTTAAATTTAAAAGAAAAGAACATCAAATAATACCATTTGATTTCCGTTTAAGAATAGTGGGTTATTTGGCTATGAAATGAAACATGAATCTATGTAAAGGTTGTTCCCAATGGTGTTGATCCAAACAATAAATATCCTGATTCAGCATTTATATTTTCAACATACACAGTAGTATTCGATCACTTAAAAAAAAAAAAGATTATGGTCAATTGGATTAATTAAAAATGATGATGGTGGTAATTCATTGATAGATTATATTGAGTTGGAAGAAGGATCGGGAATTTTCCTCTTACTGACAGCTTATCATTAGCAAAATCAACTGAAGAAAATTTAAATAATATAATCGCTCTAAAAAAAACACCAAGAAAAAATTCCAATCAATAAGAACCACTACTGCCATCATAACAACAATAGTAGTATTTGTTTTAGTAATGTTTATAATAATCATAAAGACAATAAGGTAACATGTCTATCGATTTACAAATTTCATTCCTGATATGAATTTGGATCAATATTTAAAGTCTATTGAAAGAGCAAAACCATTGATTTACAAAGGTCAAAGTTACAAATTATGCCTTACAACGCAATTTGTACCAAATTGCCAAATAAACCAAAAAAAGATTGATGATATTCTAGGGTTAAATTACTACATTAGTTCAAATAATCTTGTGCCTTATTCAGATCTTATTTATTTTAATAACCTAAATTTATCAATATTAAGTTTGTCACCTGAAAAGTTCTTAGAATAGATGATAAGGGAGTTTTATAGAGATGAAGTCAATAAAAGGTACAGTTGCAAATGTTTTTGCAAGAAGAAAAAGACTAATGAAACAAAGGATCAAGACTATGATAACAAACGTGATCATGAAGAATGTTGTAAAATTAAAAGAAAAGAGTAGGATTTAATACGAATTTATATGCTAGAAGAAAATATTAAAGAAAGAGCTGAAAATTTAATGGTTAGTAAATTGTGAAAGTGATTACATACATAAATTGTATAATAAATAATAATGATAAGATGTTTTTGATTTTTAGATTGTGGATTTGATACGTAATGACCTTCACAGATATGTATTCCTAACACATTCAAAGTACCATATTTGATGAAGGTAGTAGAATCATATAAAATGTTCATCAATTTGTGACAACTGTTAAAGGAAATTTAAATAGAAATATAGATTATGTTAATGTCATCAAAAATTGCTTTCCTTCTGGTAAAATAACAAATGATAATTTCATTGTTTTTATTCTTCCACTCTGGATTATTATTAATGATTTTTTATAAAATGTTTGTAGGGATCAATGACTGGTGCTCCTAAATTACATAATGTACAATTACTTGAAAAGTTAAAAAATTATATCTCAAGAGGTGTTTATTCTGGTTGTTTAGGTTAATGATCCAAATACTCCTAATAACCATAGGTGTGGTGCCCATTTCAGTGTTGTCATTAGAACAGTTATTATTTGTGATGAAAAAGGTGTGTTAAAAAAACTTTTTTCAAAATGTATTTTTTATAATAAACAATATGCATATATTTTTCTAGATGTGCTGGTGGTGCTATCATAGATCTTTCAAACCCAGAAATGGGATGGCAAGAAGTTTTATTAAAATTGCAATATAACAAAGTTTGATTTCTGAATAAAAAAACATTTCAATTATTTTTTTACCAATATAATAATAATTATAATAATAACTGTTATTATTATTTTAATTAGTGTCACATCTTTTATAAACCAAAAATATCTAATAATTATAACAGGCACTTTAAATTTTCTGTTGGTTACAATCTAAATGATACTTTAATCTCAATATGTATGCATGCTTAATTAATATTGATATATATTAAATTCCACAACATAAAATATATTTAATCATAGAATAAAATTCACTTTAGGCATTATAATAAATAAAATTTGTCACAGAATCTTTTTGTGATTTTACAAATGGAACTATTCTTACAGTGAAAGATTAATTAGACAAGGTATATGGGGCATGCTGCAACAAAACCAGACAAAGTGAACATTGGTATTACCAAGAATTTCAGGGACCAAAGTTTAGTCATCTTTAATGCAATTATAATTAACAGTTTTATAATGACCCATTTTATATTTTGGTTGATATAGAACTTACCCCTGTATAAAAATAGTTGATATGAAACTCATTTACATTAGGTCTACCATGGAACCCAAGAATTATAGTACTATCAGAAGTATTTTGAAGAAAGAACAAGGTGAAAAAATTGCACCTTATATTTTTCAAAATAAATGATACCCAGACACTTGAAGTTTATCTAAGAAAAGAAAGGATTACCTATGAAATTTACCAAGAAGAAAGAAAAATAATAAATGTTAAAAAAGAAAGCATCATGATAATGCATTATTACCTAATAAAAAGCAAAAATCTTTAAAAGGAAAATAACTAACATTTTCTTTGATAGTTAGAATGAATTTCAATTTATACAGAATATTCTTTAAATTACTTTTTTATTTTCAATCAAGATCATCCTTTTAGTCTCTTTAACTTCAATTTGAGCAGTTATTTGAGTCTGCTGTTTCTTTAACTGTTCAACTTCATTTTCAAGTCTTTGAATTTTATCTAATAATTCTTGCTTCTGCTTATTATGCCAATCCTTTGAAACTTCTAAGGCTTCCAAATGAGAACTGATTTCTTCTTTAACACTGGATAGTTGCTGTTTTAAGTCTTTATTCTGCTGTTCCAATCTGCCAACATAACTCTGTGCCATTTAAAGACTAGTGCCGTAATCCAAAAAAAGGAAAAAGTATGGTTGCAAAAGTGGTCGCAAAGGTAATTGCAACCACT